AATGTAAGCTTCGCTAGATCAGAGTCCAGTACCTTGATAGTATTTTGTAAATGAAACTGCCCAAGGCCGGACATTTTCAAAACATTTGAAACCAGTGATCTAAAATATTGTAGCTAGATTAAGACTGATGTTTATTTGAAAGTAGCACTAATTACGGCTTTATGAAATGAATTTTTTTCTTAACCCATTTACCGGCAGTATGTACTCTACCACTGACGAGTAAAATCATCTAGCGTTAAACAGAGTAAATACTAAAGTAGGGCGCACTGCCTGCTAACGGGTTAATTGACTGCACATCCATGGCGTGCGGTTTGCTAGCTATTACCCAGGAGTAGAAGCTAGTGATAATTTTGTTTTGAAAAACTTGCAGCTGCAACATTCTATTTTTAGGAGAAACCTCTGCAGCCCTTGATGGTATGTGGGCAACTATGGTTAATGAAAGTACATCTGGCCGACTAGAAACATATCTGGACAAATCACGAAAGATACGTAGTAAGGTTATCCCATCCTTAATGAGCAAACAAGTTAAAGAGTATCAAGATAGCAATGACAACATGTGTCGCAGTTTGAAAATTCTTTATGAGGATGGCCTTCTTGCTAAAAAGAAGTATAAGTCTATTTGTAGAAATGTCAAAGCAACAGTGGGTCAATCAATAACCAACCCAAAACTTGTTTATTATGACAAGTTGATTGCCTTTATAAAATCAGTAGATGTTCAAAATGTTCATGATTTTGCATCTGAGTTTAACAAGGATACAAGTAAATTTGAGGAACCAATTAATGGGTCCTATAGGGATTTCTGCAGTTACATAAAAGTGTTAGCCGAACTATATATACAAGTAGACCAAGCATTAGGGTCCGAGTCGTTTTTCCAACATTTTGGAGCATTGCCCTATCACTTTAGAATTGCTATTGGAGCGGATGGCGCTCCATTCGGAAAAGATGATGAAGCCACTGCTTCATCATCTTATGTGGGTAAGCATATTCAAAGTGAAAGGGACAATTTCCTTTTATGTGGGGCAAACTGCTCAGAAGATCACCCAAGCATGAAACAGTATGCAAAGAAATTGATGCAAGATATCGCACACATTGAGACACAGTCATACATTATCAGCGGTTTTAATTGTAAATCTACAGTTGAACTTGTTCCCTCAGATATGAAATGGCTATCCACAATGAGCGGAGAGCTCAACAACGCAGCTTACTATTTTTCCCCTTTTGGAAATGTAAATGATGACAACAAACGGGTCAGAAATGGATCCCTAGGGGATGATCCGTCATGTAGATGGCATCCCTGGAACTATAACGAAAGGATTAAGGTTGCTAGGGAAGTTGCAAATAAGAGGGAGGAACTATGCAGGTCCAATAATTCCAATGCCACTAAGAGAAATAAGCTTCTCAATTTCATTAGGGAGCAGGGGTCTAGACAGGAATATGAACCACTTCTGGGCAAATTAGTACATTGTGGGTTTGCACAGCCATTGCATAATAGTAACAATGCTTGGGCCTATTTTCATCAACTAATGCTTGAAACAGCTTTGGCTAAATCTTGCATTACAGGAAGCTGCAAACAGATCGAAGACCTACCCTCGGATAGTCCCTTTTCCCTTTACATCACAGTTTTGAAAAACCAACTGCGTGTTGGTCGGCTGGTTAAAAGAATAAGAACCTGGTTCAATGAAGGCCGGAAAGGTCCTTTTAGTTATAGGTTTACAGGAAAAGAAACCAGAATATTTTGTCACAAATTCATGTTTGTGCTGCATGCATTGAGCCAAGCAACTGACCCACCTCAGACTAAGTTGAAGATTGCATCCATAGCTTTCTGTTGCTTACAGTTAAGAGATGCAATATCATATTTCTCTCGTGTAGATATTACCCTTGCTGAGTTAGAACAGTGCAAGAAGGCTTGTTTATACCTTTTTAATGCCAATGCTCTGTTGTTAAAATCAGTCACACCAACACTGTGGACTGTTGGTTATGCTATACCAAGACACATAGAAATATTATTTGATAGATACGGCATGGGATTGGGTATCAATAGTATGCAAGGCCGAGAAGCAAAACATGTAAGACTTTCTGAATTTGCCAAACACTCCACAAAATCAACAAGGTGGTCTATGGTCTTACGTCATGACTACATGTGTAATGTGTGGATCCGCATGAATGAGCCTGGCCGTGTTTTGTACACAACACACAAACACCACTACATACCTAGAGAAATAGAGCTGGAAACTTTCTGTTATTGTGGTTTCCCTATATGTAAAGGTCAGCAATGTAGTATTTGTATATCAGATGTTTTTAAAGCTGTCGAAGAGACAGCAATAGCTGGAGCATTGATCAAGGAAATACATAGATATATATAGTCCTAAATGGAATGTAAACGAGATCACATTAAAGGAGCTTAGCAAGTGTTTTAACACACTATTTTTAACTTAACTTTGTGCACAATTGGTAGCATATATTTAATACAGTCTGTAAAGTTGATAACATATTTTATGCTATAAGCAGACCTTGGTGTTTTAACACTCTTTTAAATTTTATGAAATTTTGTGTACATGTACAATTGTAATATGTTTAATACACTTTTGTGTAAAATTGTTGATGCATTTTTGCTTTAATAAACTATTTATTCAACAAATGGTTGTCCACTTTTGCATATGTTTAATATGTAACCACAATTGAAGAATTAAAGGAACGCAGTCGCAATTCGAGCGATATTATTTAGCACGATATGTTTACATTCAAACTTGAATTAGTTTTGGACAGAACTGAGCAAAGATTATGGCCAATATGACACTAAAATAATACCGCTCAAACAGACTGTGCGCCTTTAGCCACATGATGTTTGTACAGAATATTGTAGTCTGATTCAGTTATATTAGAGGCCGGCATTTACACTGGCTATTTGGACTAATTTATTTCGTCTGATCGATCCGGTTACAGCAAGCCAGTGAGGAAGATGAAAATTTGTCTTAACCCATTAAGCGCCAGCGCTCTCCCCTTGACGAGTAAAATTGTCTGGGGTTAGACAGAGTAAAATACTAAAGTGGGGTGGATCAGGGTGCAATGCGACTCAACGGGTTAACTAGACGCATGGGCAGATAGGCCAGTTAACCCATTAAGTGCCAGCGATCTCCCCTTGACGAGTAAAATCGTCTGGCATTAGACAGAGTGAAATACTAAAGTGGGGTGCATCAGGGTGCAATGCGACTCAACGGGTTAACTAGACGCATGGGCAGATAGGCCAGTCAAACCATTAAGCGCCAGCGCTCTCCCCTTGACGAGTAAAATCGTCTGGCGTTAGACAGAGTAAAATACTAAAGTGGGGTGCATCAGGGTGCAATGCGACTCAATGGGTTAATATTAAAATTCACTATCTCCCACTCGACAAGCAAAATCACCTGGCCGTGTTAAACAGTAAAAGAGGTGCACATCATGGCCGAATGTTAATTAAAATCCTATACGAAAACATGATAGGACACAAAACAGTTAAAGCTAGGATGAGGCCATTTTTTATTTTACACTAATGCCAGGCAATTTGATTCCCATGCATGTAAAGAATAATGCAGCTAGTGTTAATTTCCATACACATGCTTATAAACTATAATTTTTGAAACCATGCCTGTAGAAAAGGAAAAGCTAGCTACTTGGCAAATATACATGTATTTCTGAAATTATCGCTGAGCGCCACCTGCAGGCACAATCTGTACAGGTTACCGGGAGGGGGGAAGGGGGTGGTGTGCCATGCCTAGAAAAAAATTAGAATGTCATAATTTTAATTCCTGCTTGACCTAAGCACTAGTAGCTAGGGGGCTTTTCTACAAGCATGGGTGGAAATTTATAACCTGCATTCCACACTTCATATATAATGTCCATTATGTCCATACCATTCAACAATATCCATACCATTATAGTTAATGCTCAATAGTTATTATACTTCAACCCCGCAGCTTCAACCGTAACCAAGATTTATGAAAGAACATGTTGAGGAATGCCAAATGCATTCCAGCAGCCATAACGAGTTACATACTGAATATTTTCTTGTGTATTGGAGTATTTAACAATAAATGGATGTTCTGGTGAAACTATTGCTTTACAACATGAACCGTCTTTCAATAGTTTTGAAAAAAAATCTGTTTCTATAGTTCCAGAAATTGTATTATTGCCAGCGACATGCTTTACCCAGTTATAAACAGCATCCAAGTTTGATATTTCAAGCTGTTCAACAGATTTTGTTTTCTTCACAATATTACCATAGCCACCCTTTAAAATTGTTTCCTTTAGCAATTCGAATATTTCCACGGGAATGTTTCTGACAATGCGGATTTGCCAAGGATGAGACAAGGTGGTAGAAGTTTTCATTCTTCTGCGAAGGATCTTCGTGAAGTGAAGCAACTCCCTCGAAAGCATTGGGAAAAGCTCCGCGACATGAAACTTACAAGCATCCTCTGCGGTAAATAAATATTTTTTTGCGACTTGTCTGGAACGCTCAAGAACTTCTGTTCCGATTTTCCCAGCCAATTCTTTGTCATTTGCCTTTTTAATGTATTTTTCGACTACTTCGTGCAAACTCACAAGAAGAGACGCCATCTTGAAAATAGTAGCAGCTGACCGAAAATATAATTAGTCTGCAGGCTCCTTCTGTTGTCATGTGTCCGAATTCAACACTCTTCTAGCCCGGCGTGGATTGATGAAATTCAGCAGTTGACCCAATTGTTGGGTGTGTAACAGGCTACTGGTGATGCTAAATACATGAATGATTCAAGCTCTGATTAGGAAAATGATGAAGACAAGGATTCTGAATGACAAGAATTGTGGAGGAGACACATTGTATCCTGAGAATTAAGACAAGGATTGTGGAGGACACTTTGTATCCTGAGAAGTTTGTTGTAGCTGGTTCCTGGGCGAGAACAAAGATACCAACTTGTGATAATCATGTTAGATGATCAAAAAATCTCAAGTTGAAATTTAAAGTAGAACATGAGCAAGACATTTTTAGTTGAGATTTTCATATAAATTTATTCCTATTAAAACACTGTTATTATTTCAGGTAAATATTTGATATCAGTATTTTTGCACAAGTGAACATAACAAATCCTACAAGGTGATTGGTCAAATTTGACGTATTAATATGTTATATTATAACAAAATCGAAATTTTCAAAATGGCGGCTAGCCGTTTTGTTGAAGTAAAAATGAATTAAGACCAGAAAAATGAAAAAAAAACTTGTGCAAAAATACTAAAACAATTATTCGCCTCAGGCTCTGTGATTATCAGGGAATATTCACCTCGGCAAATATTCTCCGATAATCACCTCGCCGAATAATTGTTAAATATAATTTTACCATTCCTTTTTCAAATAAATAAATGTTTTCAAACTCAATTTGCTGTGTTTGTTTACTGCAGTTATCAAATCCCTACTTTATCTTATTGTCCACCTTCTGCATGTGTACTTAACACTGTTTTAACTGTTGTATATTTAGCAGATGAATCACTGATCTAAAGATGGATCCAGTATGTGGTAGGGAGGGTGCTCTGCCAGCTCTGGTGCTGAGTTGTGTCAGTCATGTGCGCCGCCCACCCATCAACTTACTTGACTACAGCAAAGTCTTGCTTGACTGTTGTATTGTAATTGTTAACAAACAGTTTACTTATCATCGTGTTATTACTCAAATTACTCATTTTGTCTCTAATATTTTTTGCTTTATCATGAAAATACCCCCCCCCCCCTGCATACCCTCTGGCCAGGGCTAGGTGGGGGGTGCACACACCCCAGTAAATCCATCCCTGATATTTGGTGGTCATATAAATGCAGTGGTCATACACAATTGATGTTAATAAAATGCTTTATTAAAAGTTACAATATATAAAGTAAATACTTAAGATTCGTTGCAACATTTTCATGTCACCAATACACCAATATTTACATGTAAAATGTCTACAAAAATATGTATCTATTAAAAGGCTGGTATGGGCAAATTTATATAACAGGTTGCTCTTATTATTCTGGTTCAATAGTTTCATTGCTTGAATCAGTTGAATGCATCATGAGCACAACTTGGCTGGATTAGATGTTATACCATTTGCCAAAGCAAGATGTAGGAACAGTTTGTTCAATAACAGTTCTAAATCAGCATTAAATTCATAAATTCAACTTTTCCCATACTTGGGATCAACAATATAAACAACATTGCCATCATTGTCAGATTCCATTTTCACAAAATATATTCGAATTCTATAAAAATAATGATAAAATACAGTGTATTTAACTTAAATGCAGCAGTTAAACTCAAGAACGATCGACATATATGCCCATGCTTCGAAATAAAACAAAAATAATGACTCGTACAGTAATTTTCCTTGCGCCATATTCCCATGCGGTCGACATTCCCGCGATGCAGTGCAGGGCGACATAGTATACCGAAAATGCCTCATTTTCAAACCGTGATTACTCGTCAGTTTGATGGGGACAATTAATTTTTTAAACTACTCATAGAAAGAACAACTCTTCCTGAATACGATAGCGTGTTTTTGATTTAATTTACTCATTTATAAACCCAATTGTCCCCAGCGGTTTTGAAAGCCACTTTTGACACTTGTGCATTGACCCGGAAAACAGGTCAATACAAATTGCGATTAACATATAACTAAACGTTGTTAAAACACCAAATAAAGCAAAAATTTGACTCATATTTAAAACAATTATAAAAACTTACCTTCAAAAATACGAACTTTTCGTGGCGAAATATCGAAATAAATATCCACAACTTTTCCAACTAACATTATGAAAAATCATGATTGTGAATATTAATGAGTTGCAATGCATGCTGGGAAGAGCTTCCACCCTCCTCTGGCATGACCAAGTGTTGTTGGGCTTGCAGCATCATTAGTAGTTATAAAAAAGTAATGTTTTCCAAGGCAGTAATGTTTGCCAAGGCACATAATCGGATTATGTGGTGAAAATATTTCCTTTTTTGCACAAAATATATATTGGACCACAAAAGACCTAAGACTGTAACCAAACTTATATCACATCACCATGTCTTACCCAAATCCATCCTACGATGAATCTCTGGACTTCTTCCTGTATGTATCTCAAAGTCGCAATATAACCATTAGGACTGTCTGCAGCAACCCACAGATTTATCTCCCACATAGTAGGCCATCTTTCATGAACTGCCTAATCCCCAACCTATTCCTTGATTTGACAGTGTGTTCGTCAACAGCAATTTTCTGTGATGGCTGGTACAGTTGTTGATGCAGTTTATTGCTGTAGTCTTCAGTGACAGGATCGACCATATTCAGAAACTTTGCTTTACAGCGATTTGTACCTCAACCAAGAAATTATTTCTATTGCCCACAGACCACAATATAAGGTTTTTACACTCCAATAATTTTCAATCTCACTGTCGACCATTACCAAACCTGCATATACTAAAAAGGCAATCAACCTCTCAATCTCCTCAAGGTTGTTGGACATCTCCAAGACCCTTCTTTATTAGTATATGGGGATGATTTTTGGGTTATTTGTATGTGGGCATATGTATTGGTATGGCCGGGAAACTACCTCCTGAAGCATTCCCTTAGTAAAAAAGAGCTGAATGAACTCAAGCTCATAGTTCATACTTCTGGTGAAAGCTTGATCAAAATGGATCCCGGACATGTCGGTGTGGGTCAAAATCTGGGATATTCCTAGTGTCAGGATCACCATATCCGTCATGTACTATGGGGCCTAGTGGGGGTGCTAGACAGGGGAGCTTTCAAACCCTTGGGTCCTAGTGGCTGGGCTTACCTCTACTCATCCCCCTACCTTCCTCTACACTTACACATTTTCCTAATGGGGGTTGGGGAGTGGGGTGCTCATGACTCTCAGAACTGCTACTTCCCTGAGGCTATGAAACAGGAATAGCAGCTAGGAACAGGATCAATATCTTCGTCACTGCAATTAAAAACGTTTTTATAGACATAACCTATATGGCACCACTATATTGAAATTATAATAAGAGCCAAACTAGTAAGATATAAGTATGAATACTTGGTCTATTATGTATGTAACAAACAACCAAACAGGTGCTCAAGGCTCATTTTACTTTGCCTAGGAATCAGAGTTTTTTATGCCTAAAACACCATAAATTTTCGTCAACAATATAAATAAATACCATTTATACTTGTCAATTTCAGTATGGAAGATTATTTCAACACAAAACATGTGATATGAGGACATACTTGATCGTACTAGTGAAGCAATACTGTTAATGCAAATAAATTTGCAACAGCGAAACATTGAAATGGAATGTCTAAAAATGATCAAAATACTTGCCTTGACTCTAGACACGACTCCCAATGCCAGGTTGAGATACTTGTCTTCGTACGAAGACATTCCGTCATTACTAGCACTATCAGTTTGCAAAATAAGGCCAAGAACGTCTTGAGCATGCGATTCAAACAATACAATTACAACACAATACATTACAACGCTTGTGCGTGATAATCAGGAAAATTGCTCTCAAAGGTTTGTTTTTCTTCCTAAGCCAATCAAAATCCGTATCTAGGGTTAAAAAAAACACTCCGGTGATTTCTGCAGTTATTTACCAGGAAACTGTAATGCTTTACCAAGAATTTGGCGTCCGAAGTTCGGCGAACACTTTCTGACCACAAGAATTACCATAATAGGCATAGATTATTTTGCAATTTCCCGAGACTGCTCCAAGCTATAGAATGCAAGATGGCTATTCTTTTAGTATATTTGTCTTTATTATACATGGAAAAGAAGCAAAGATACAAGCATTTGAATCAGGCAGGACATTCAAAATGCAACAGCAAAATTGGTAATGCATCATTTGCATAAATTTCACCGCATTGATCATTTCAAGGTAAGAAATTCACTTGAAATTGAGCAAGAAACAATAAAATTATACGAATATTTCGGAATATATAGTATTGATCAAGCGGAATTTTTTTGTGGTATTTTCCTATTTCTACTGCAAGTACTCGCGGATTTCTTTCATATACATCGGAAATCAATATTGGTGGATGGAATTGAGTTAATAAAGTTAACTGGAGCCAGGAAAGAGTGGCAAAGGTTGCAGATGTCCTCACAATGGAGATAATGTCATCCTATGAAAGTGAGATGGATGAAGAAACCCATAGGTTTATGCAGTACAAAAGTTTACCTGTGAAAGCAGAGAACTATTGGTAAGCAAAGAGAAAATTTGATAAGAGTCACCAGGATTTGCTGTCTGGACTATCAAAGGGTGTTATGATCCAAGGGAGTCTGGGGAACCAGCACAAGTCGCAGATGTTGACACAAATCCGCCACTAGTGTGAACGGCGGATAATGATGCAGCTACTGACATAAACATGCCCCGATGAACTACAATTATTTTTAACTTTTTATTCTAGAAAACGTAATTATACTAATGGACTTTAATTAATATGCACACACATTATTAATTTTTTATCACTTCTTAGTTTGTTTTTATTTTAGTTGCCAAAATTCTTTATTTAACGGAAAGACATTACAGAACATCTACTAGTTAGGACCAGCACTAAAAAAATTAAGGACTTGTATTATTTGCCTTTACCATTGTCCAGAACAATGTAAATTAGCAACAATGTTTCCCGGCAAAAAATGATTTTCTAAAGAACTAGTCGCAATTCACAAAAAGCCTTATCTTAAAAAGCCAATAACAAAACGTGATAATTTTAGGTTTGGTTTTTACTGGGTCTCTGTCCGCACAAATCTGTTTTCATATATAGCATTTTCTATTCCATTGTTAAATGGATAACAATACTGTACATGAGAACGCCATGCAAGCCCTGAAACGATTAGCTTGGCCGTATCCTGAACGCTAAAGACCTTGTGCATCTGTATTTTTTGTTATCATGGTAAATTATTCTTGTGGAACTCAATGTTTCAGTTGTGCACGATAATTTATTATTATAAGGTATTTTAGTTTTAGTTTTGTACATGCACGGGTATACTGATATATATTTTGTAATAAATGTATTTTAAAAATTAATGCTGTTTTGAACAGTTGACATTTTTATTTCATTATATGTTTAATTTAATTAAAGTTCTGTTAAGTTTAATTATTAGCAATCTCTAGATTGTGTCATTGATGCATGATATGTAGGCTTACTGTATTTTGCAAAATGAAACTTTGCGAAACGAAACTTTGCGAAACTGTATTTTGCGAAACTGTATTTTGCGAAACTGTATTTTGCGAAACTGCATTTTGCGAAACTGTATTTTGCGAAACTGTATTTTGCGAAACTGTATTTTGTCATGATTCTGCTAGTAGAGTTGGCAAACATTTGTTTATAAAGACTGAAAATAAATCAAAGACAAAGTGCAGTATGTTGCTTTGAATGCTTTCACATGGAACTTTATACATGTACATATAAAATGGTGTGGATTGATTTTGAAAGAAAATATAGCGACATCACCATACAGATTATAAATAACACTAGAGAGTAGAGCGGGCATCGTAATCTTAATTCAGTCAAAGAAAGGGAACGTGTCTATTCAGTATTGGGGGTCAAAAAATTAAAATGCTAAAATATAAGAGAGAGTTTGAGCCAATATGTCTAAATTCTTGTTTATGGTAGTTAACTGAGTTCTGTTTTGTTTTTTACCAAGCATTTTTACCAGAATTTTGTTTATAACACATTTCAAACAGTGTTCCAAATAATGCCGATGTCAGTACTTTTGATATTTTCAAGAGAAATTAATTGTTTGAATTAAAAATTTGGGGGGAATGTTTGTAATGACATTCAAAGCATATAAAACACCCAGTTTTGTGACTCTTGTTTTAAATTTTTCTGGTTTCAAGTGCAACCCAAGACTTGTGTGGTGTTTATTCGTGATTTCAATTTCCCCACTGCCCCCCATTACCGCGCTCCCAAATTTCACCCGATTCCCCCTCTATCGTTATTTATAATCTCTATGGACACCACAGCCATGACGTATAGATCAGTGAACAACAGAAACGTTTGATGTTGTGAAAATGGCGAAATTGCAACTACATCAAATGTTTCTGAATTCTGTTGCTCACTGATTTATACGTCATGACTGTGGTGTCCATGGAGATTATAAATAACGGTA